AGGATAGTTTTCCTTGCTGATGCAGCTGCCAGAATGGACCTCAAGCTCATCCTCGTGGTTTTGGTCTGCTTTGCACTGATGGAAGGTGACACTGGCTGCTCTCTCACAGCCTGTCTTGGTTTTTCTACAGCACCTAAGTCTGTTGGCAAAGGCAGTGTGTTCATCATCCACCCATAGATAATGGAGCTGAGAAATAGCTGATGCTGTGGTTTTTTTTAATGCTGTTTTCCAGAGTGATAAAGAACCCTTTGAAAAATGTATCCCTGGGTGTGCCAGTCTGCAGCAACCCAAAGCCTGACAGCACTCGAAGAGTCCAGACTTTGTCCCACTTGTTAAAACTATAATAATGTGAAAAGCCCCCAGGTTATTCCATTCACAGTATCTAGAGCTAAGTACTTAAGTTAAATAGCTAAACTTTAAGTAAAATACTTTAAAAAACCATGCAAATTTAAGGACTTGAAATGTTAAAGTATGAAATTTTTAACGGCAATTTTGAAAGTCCTGGAAATGCACACAGTGGCACTGGGTGCCACAGTGCTTTCATTCTTCCATGCTTTGGAAACCAGTTTACTTCCTTTATAGTCCTACTTTCGTGTACCCATCCCTCCCTGTGCTAGATGATATACCCACAAGGTACGTGAAGTACTTCCTACAAGATACGTGAATGTTTAGCAGCTGTCACTCGATTTTTTTAGCCCTGCATTGGGTGTTTTAAACATGAATGGCTTGACCCTTTGCTCATGCTGGCAGTTTGCTGGACTACGAAAGCAAAGGGTGTATGAGTGCTGATGGGAGAACCCTGGGAGTGGAGTGCAGCTTTCGGGCGTCCCCGCAGGCGCTGAGCGTGAGCCCGGCCAGCCGCCATGGTCACAGTGGGTTTGCTCCCTGCCATCATTTCAAAGCACGCCTCTTCTTCTCCTGGCTGAAAGATCCTCACAGGTTTGGGGAGAGCAGCCGGCACAGAGGACGGTGTATGCGCCTCTGTCTGGCACTGGCTAAGGGAGTGCTGTTGATTTGTCATTTTGGTATTAATTAAGTTGGGCAGGATCTGAGCAGTAGACTCATTCATTTGGGCAGGGTCTCTGCAGCATGCCGAGAAGCCAACAGCAGCATGAGAAAAGCACTAAGTGCTGTATTCCGGCTCTGGGAGCTTATGTGTTGGCTTCATAGAGAGCCATGTGCATATAACATCTGCCAGGGGACAGGGCCAAAAGTTTAGTATTTCTCCAAATGAAGTATAAAAGTAATTATGAGTTCGGCCCAGGGCACTCGGACCTGAATTTGTAACTATCTGGTGTTAATGGCCTGAAGTGAAACTTAAGGCAAAGGTTTCATTTTGCATATTCATCAGAAAAGTCTCTGGCCAGTGTCTGCAGCTTTCCTCGTTAGCAGTAGAATTTCATACCTACTGCCTTGCTGAGGGGCAGGGGAGATGCAGCAGCCACACTATTTCTTTGTTTTGACTTTAGTGAAGCAAGTTGCATTGAGCATTGACAGTGAGGGACTGCTCAGAGACTGCAGAGGAATTAAGAAGGTGAATATGATATGTATCCTCTCACCCTTTTCACTTCACTGACATTAAATTTAATCTTCCTAAAAACACTGCACAGGAGCCTATTGAATATCCATGCTCCTAAGACAAAAAAATGCTGAAATGCACTTATAGTGTTGCCTATCCATGAGCAAAAGCTGTTCTGTTAACATACAACTGAGCCCATTCCCAGGGTAGGACTTGGTGGAAGCACAATGTGGGAAGAACATAGTTTTTTTATTCCAATTGGAGTTTTGCCTTCCTTTCCCAAATGGTGGGCACAGGTGCTGAGTTTCTGAAGACACACTCACTGGTCTCCTAATTGCTCTGTATTGGAGGTCTCCATCTGGAAGCAACCAGTGGCCAGTGCCAAGAGGTGCATTGGGCAAACCGAGACCCAGAAGACCGTGGCATGATCAGATAAGTTGGTAAGAAGAACCATACAGATAGCAGAAGTGGCAAAACAAGGTATCAGGCTTGTCTGAGAACTCCAAGAGACACTCCCCTGCTAGTAAAATTTCTGATGGAGACTTTTAATCATTGCTGTGCAGCCCAGAAGATAGAGAGTGAGTGTTGCTCACTAAGAAATGAGAAAGAAATGAACAGAGCTATTGAGCCTGCTTCTGCACAGACATTCAGGCATCTCCATTAAAAATTTTGGGTAAAAACTCAAATGTTCCACATGGGAAATGTCTCTCTTCTCTGCTTTCCTCTATGTGGTCCAAGTACAGCAGCTGAAATAGAGCTTGTGAAGGCCATCAGAATTGTGTTTGTGGATTAAAGTAAGTTCTCAGCAAAAATGCTTCAGTTCTTTTCACCTCATAAAAGTTAAGCACTTATCTTGCTTCTCGTCAGACTTCCCAGTAACCATATTGCCACAAAAGAAGCAAGGGCAGTGGGAATGAAAAGTCACTTTAAAAGCCTATTTTCCCTCTGCAATCACATCTTCTCAAAGTCTTTGCTAGCCATTCCCCCCCAACCCAATGTTAGACTGCCTCCCCTTAGGGCAGGTTGTCATGGCACAGAAAATGCTGGAGTTTGTGCTCTGTGCTAAATCCTTATAACTGTGATCACACTGAGGAACTTATCTGACCCTTAACCTTCATGGTATGTGACTGCACTGGTGGTCCCCCTCAGTGGTTTTGAATAAGTTTCGCATGGTATCACCCTTGGCAGAGCAGCATGGTAACTTGCTGTGCGTCTGCTGTAAGCTGTCCCATCTGCACACTACCAATGAGTTTAACCTTTTTCATGCAGGCCTCCTCTGAGGTGTCAAATTCAGATGATATAGAAATTTCCAGATGGTTTCAGTCTGTAAGGTGCAGAATATAACCACACTGTTCAGATTCTTTTTCCTCTTTGTTCCTCTCCCAAGACTGTCACTCACTGGAAGCCCATGCTACATTCTACTTTTATTCATAGGGTCATGGCTCATCTCCAGACCTACTGGAGAGGAAGAATCCCCATGTCAGCACAGCCTCAGCTTTACATTGCCATTCAGCTAGCACCTTTGTTTTCTCCTGCAGTTTTTGCCAGAATCCTGAAGGCTCCTGAATCCCAAAATATCACCTTTGGTTCTGTGGTGACATTGCGGTGCACAGCAACCGGCCTTCCAGTCCCCACCGTTACCTGGCTTGAAAATGGAAAAGCTGTAAGTGTCTCTATTTTCATACTTTTGGCCTCAGAACAGGCTGCTAGCATCTGGAATTGCAGCCTGGGGATCAAGATGTGGGGCTAGGAGCTAGTGCCCATGGTTTCTATTTCTGCTTTGCTTAGCACCTTGCTGTGCAATCAGCTAAGTGCACCTCTCCTTGCTGCAGTTTTCTGCTCTGCAAAACAACTCCTCTGCTTCTCTAGGGTTTTGCATGGATTAATTTTTTAGGGTCTGGAAAGCCCAAAATGAAAGATGCTTTGGATGCCTACAACCCTCCTCCAAGCTGGGATTTCTAGGACTTCATCATGCTTTAAGTATTTCTGCAGCTCTCCTTTATCCTAATGTGGTAACAGTAACATGGCAAGGTTGATTATCTGATGAGATAAGACAAACCAAGGCAGTTAGGTATAGCAAATTGTCTTGAGGTAAAATACCTCTTGGACAGCACATAGGCACAGCATATTTGTAGATTAATAAATCCGAAACTTTCTAGACTGACCTAGGTGATGCACTGAAATATGTCACCACTTTAGACCTGGCTCAAAGCACATTCTCTTCAGTAGCAGGCACCAAGAGATGCAAATCTAGTTTCTCACAGGGATTTTTTCTGTGATTTAATTATCCTGACCATCTGAAATAGCTCCCTGCTTTGAATGTGTCGGGCTTTCATGTCTGTGTGTAGGCTATTGCAATGCCTTCCCCCCAGGTGAACTGAAGAGCTGCTTGACACCTGGTATTGCCTCCCCAGGAGTGAGCAGTGCACCACAGTCACAGCAGTTCTGCACCCTGAGCCTGTCATGGGTTTCCTCCAGTCTTCATATGGTTATGGTGGACATGTTTTATACTCAATGTGGTCTTTCAACAGATTTTTTTTAAGGACGTGAGCCCCAGGGTGTGGTTCTGTGAAGGCAAGTGGAGCAGCCACGGCACGCAGGCTGGCAATTTGCGTCCGCTCTTTGTCGCTGCCTACCCAGTCAACCCTAAGTCCTTCTGGCCACCATCTGGCCATGGCCATTCCTGTGGACTTGGTTATCCAACAAGACCAATAAATCCCCTTGCTGCAACTCTTATTCCAGGAGGCTATTCCCATCCTGGTCTGCAACCCTGCTTTCCATGTATTAAAATACACTATTAAGAGCCTCAGCTACCCTGTGGGCTATCTTGCCTTTACCTCCTCTAAACCTTTTCATGTCCTCCAGTCTGAATAAGGCTAATATTCTATATTCCCCTGAGGCCTCTAGGATGAACAGGCACTGCAGAGCCCTGTGGGTCTGTGGTGCTTTCTGGTAGTAATTATTTTGAGACAACTTGAGATGTTCATTTAAGACTTCTTCCCCTTTGGGCAAGAAATATTTTGGTGCATCCAGATTCCCTGGCAAGGGCAGACTATTTCTGGAGCACAGACCCCTGCCCTTCGAAGGTCCCGCCGGTGCGTGAGTGTAGCAGAGAGCTGTGTGTGGGATGATGCTCAGCCCCTGCGTGGGGCCACTGCCTGGCTAGTCGGATCGACTCTGCCACATTCCTGTCTGCAAGGCAAGGCCAGGTCCCAAGAGGGTGGTGCTCCAGATTACCTCATTTTATATATGGCAAGGAGACCGTAAAGAGGTCCCGTCTCTGGTAAAGACAGGCCAGGGAGCAGGTGGATTGAAGCACGTGCATTTGAGGGTTGGCTCACAAGCAAGCAATGGTCACTCATTTTAAGACGCGAGGTGTCTGTGGCAGTACAGTCTCTGAATGCTGACCTGTAACTGTCCTGAGGTTTAAAGAGTGGGAATCTGCTGCGGTTATTAAGCTGCCTTTGAAGAGAAGGATGGAAACTTCTTTGTGCAGCAGCTGCCTTACCTACTTAAACAGAAACTTAGTTCCTTTCCCTCCCAGGAAAATGATGCAGGACATCATAGACCTTAAACCGTAGTTTCCTGCACCACAAAGAGTAAGTAAGCTGGGTGTGAAGATGTGGTAGGGCTGAGGTTACGTTTTAAAGGCTAGAAAAAGACCTGCTGGAAACAAAGTCTCGGGGAAGGGAGACAAGAGAATGGCCTGATATTCCCAGTAAAAAAGCCAACAGCTGGCTGGTTCAGAAGTCCTAGGCAAAACTACCTGACAGTTTAATCTGTGGTTTTTTACAGTTCATAAGACCCTGTGCATAAGACCATGCTGCTTGCAGTGACCTAAGTACCCTTTTCCTCCCCTGGCCCGAGCTGGGAGGAGCAAGCCTGGCTCTCTGCGCTTACCAGGCACAGCCTAGTACTGCTGGGAGGGGAGGTACCAGGATGGGGTACATGCAGGCCTGAGGCGTAA